ACAACCATTAGTGAAAAATGTGACAGTAAGACCAAGCTCACATAATTGACTAATAAAGATAAGATTTAAAGTGAGAGTAGGAGTAAGATAAACATTTGATAAGGATAGATGAGAGGTGGAAACAGAACCAATATGACTCACAGACATAAGAAAACCGTCAGCGGTATGAATGGAGGAAATATGAGAAGAGGAAGAAAGAGAAGAAAATATAGTAGAACTAGAAGTCATATGATTGCAACATGTTGAGTCAAAATACCAAAGAGATGTACCTGAAATCACAAACAGAGCAGTAGAAGGAGGTATACCAAAGGTGGTGAGAAACTATTTGAACATGACTTCAACATCAATTTGGGAAAAGACAGGAGCGGCTGGATCTAAAGGCTCAAAAAATTCCTCAGAAGCAGCAACAACAGTGCGATAAATAAGCAAAGATCTAGACTGATTCTCGGGACATTATGAACAACCTCGTGAGGAAGCACCACGACTAGTAGATGAGCGGTTGGGATTGCGAAAACAATATTGTTGCAGATGACCAGGACTAATCTTGTTGCAGTACCGACAGGATTTGATTGGGCAATGAAATAGAAGATGAGTAAAAAGAAGGCACCGATTCTTACAATAATTGCAAGTAATGGGCGACTGGGTGGTTAGTATAGAGGAACTCAGTGATTGGGGAGTGGCAAGAACTGTATCCACATGATGAGTCTTAAGAGGGCCAAGACGAGTCTCCTCAGATAATAAAACAGAAATAGCCTGCTTAAGAGTGGGCAATGGAGTGCGATGAAGCAGAGATGCACGTATGGGCTCAAACTGGGTAGCGACAGCCATGAGAAACTGAACCAATCATTAGTGATTACGATACTGAGTAAATAAAGTAGCATCTTCAATTTGAGGCCAGGCAAGTTCAGAGACAGCGAGCTGGTCTCAGACAGAATATATCTAAGAGAGGAAATCATTAACAGACTAACCAAGCTCTTGACGCAGGCGATGAAGTTGACTTTGAAGTTGATACTAATGAGCAAGACCAGTAGTCTGATAACGTACTGTCAAAAAATCCCAAATGTCTTTGGTAGGAGTAGTCACGAAGTCAAGTTGAAAATGACCAAATTGTAAACTGATAGAGATAACATAAGGATTTCGAAACCAAGTGCTGATCTGTTAGTTCTTACTGTCCCAGTCCTCTAACCAGTCAGCATATGTAGCAACTGTTTCATGAACCTCTTTCACTGGTTGAACTATATCCCTAGTGATAATACGCCAGAGTTTCTTCCCTTTCAAAAAATTGAACATGGGCTGGGCCCATAACACATAGTTGGAGCCATAAAGAATAATAGAGATTGGATGAGAAACATCATGACGATCCATAACGGTGGTTTGGTGAAGTAAAATAGAGAAAAACAATGCTATAGGAGCAAAAACTAGCAAAACAGAACGTACTAGTGAGTCCAGAATGTCAAAAATAGCTAGAAAAGGGATCTGCTGTGTAGAGATGATGTCATCAGGGGCTGGATGACGTCAGCAGGAGGTACGACACACAATAATAGAGGGAGGCATGGTACAAAATTACAGAAAAGGGCGCGAGGTGCACAATAGCAGAAAAGGTCGCGCAGTGCACAGTAGCAGATTGGCGTACGCGGGCACACAACAGCAAAACAGCGCACGCGCAGCGCGCAGCGCACAGCAGCAGGAACGACGTACACTGACGTAGGGTTGACGTCAGGTGCTAACATGAGCAAGCAACCGAAGGGCGCATGAGGGCACGTGGGAGAGTGGTGACAGAAGGCTGAGACACGTCGAGCACAAAAACGGTACGTGAGGACGTGTGGAGTACTTTCTGGTGACGTAGTTGGTGCCGTTGGAATCGTAAGGAGATTCCGATCAGTTTGGTGGTAAGGAAAAAAATTTGGTGAAAATAATGATGAAGAAGTGCTCGAACAAAGATAATGAAGTGTATGGGTGATGAAATGAATGTTGTAGTGCTACTATGTACAGGACTAAACATAAAGAGAAAAGGAAAAAAGGTTATTAGTGTAGAACCTAGAGCTCTGATACCATGTTAGAATGGTTAAAAGAAATATGAGAATTATGTATTTGTATTATATTGAATTGAATTAATATACAATGTGAGATGCCTGTATATATATAGGCTAAAAAACCTAGATAAGTATAGAAGGAGATAGAAATAGAGAGAGATAGAGATAAAGATAAGATATATCTACAATACAGATAGATAAGTATAAAGCTAATAAATATATAAACACTATGGGGTGATTTGGGATGTTCCAAATAAGTGTACTTTTTGACTTGTTATTAAAAAAAAATGTGAAGAAAAGTAGAGAAAGTGGGTAAAAAAGTAAAGAGGAGATGTTGATTGATGTGACCCAAATAAATATATGTATGCAAAAAAAATACATTTTTTTAGTGCATGCCAAACACCTACTATATATTATTATTTTAAAAAAATCAAAAAAACTAACTAAATAACAAACACCTTTTCTTTTTCTTTTTTTGATTCAAAGAAAATTAAAGCAAACAAGAAGAAAAAGAGTTCAAAACAACATCCAGAGGGTTAGTCCCTCACTACAGATACTCTAGCCATGTCGTCTATGAAAAGATCTATGACTTCAGCAGGTGGATCCTTAAGGATCCTTACATGTTCTTTTTGAGTTACTCCCAGATTAGCTAACCTATCAGCAACTTTGTTGCCCTCTCTCAATGTATGGAGCAGTGAGCAATGACACATCTGGAGGAGAAATTTAGCATCTTCATTTAGAGCCTTGAGATGAGAATTTGGATTTGGACCATGTTGAATTTGGTGCATGGCTTGTTCTGAATCAATTTCAACTTCCACATTGGTAACCCCTTTGTGGAACAATATAGTGAGTCCTCGATATATTGCCTAAAGTTCTGCTTCCGGACTTGTGCAGTGGCCTAGTTTGCCATAGTAGCCCCATAACCAAGTGCCTGTCTCATCTCTTAAAAGTCCCCCATATCTTGCCTAGCCTGGGTCTCCCTTAGAACAACCATCTGTATTTAGCTTAAGTTTTCCTGCAATGGGAAAACATCATTTAATTAGTTTAGGTATAGAAAATTGGGAGTGAAGAGGGGCTTGAAAAGCCTCATCAATCTTATGAACATAGTCTCTAATGGTCTTGAGGTTGTTTTGGATTGGATTCAAAGTGTTTTCGAAAACCATTTTGCTGCGACCCTTCCAAATCTGCCACAGAGTAACAATAAAAACCAAAAACCAATTAGATCCATACAGAGTGCTTTTGATTTTCAAGTTAGAAGACACCCAATCATATAGAGATTGGTCGGATCCGACCTCCCACCAAGAGTTGCTTTGGATATGGATCCAAATTTCCTTAGAGTGGACACAATCTCTAAGTAGATGTTGCATGTCTTCATTAAATTGGCCACATCTAGGGCATAACTCTAAGAAGGCCATATTTCTCACAAGGCGTAAATGGTTGGTTTGCAGTTTGCCTCTAAGAACAAGCCAAAGAAAATATTTTAATTTTTGAGGGATTTTGATTTTCCAAATCTAAAGCCAATCTCTGCCAGTCACAGCAGAATTAGTAATAGTATTAAAAGCAGCAGTGGTAGAGAAAGTACCACAGGTGGAGCCAATCCAAGCAGGAGCATCTGTGAAGGTGACAAATCTAGGCATGTAGATTTTAAGAATTTCAGTAAGGTCATGTTGGGTGACAAGGGTTGCAAGTACTTAGAGTGTAGAAGTTGACACCAAATCTTATTTCTTTCACTCAGAAATTTCCACCCAAGCTTAGTAAGAAGAGCAGCATTTTGGTCCCTAGCCTTTCTAATGCCTAATCCTCCCTCAACTTTGCTTTTACACGCATTGTCCCAGTTAACCAAGTGGACTTTCTTGTGGTTCTCAGTGTCACCCCAAAGGAAGTTTCTATTAAGTTTATCAATCTCATTACAGGTTTGTCTAGGGAGCTCCATAATTTGCATGGCATAGGAAAGGATAGCAGAAGTAACTGATTGAATGAGAGTACTCCGCCAGCCATGTTGAGAGTTTTAGCTTTCCAACCTGAAAGTTTGGATTTCATCTTTCTAAGGATCTCATTGAAGATGTCCTTAGTAACTCTTATGAAGTAAATGGGAGCCTAGATATTTGCCAAGGTCCTGGGTGAGGGAAATACCATTCAGAGAACTAAGGGATTTAGTAAAGTTTCTATGAATATTAGGAGAAACAAAGAGTTTGGATTTGGCATGATTAATTTGTTAGCCAGACACCTCACAAAACTCACAAAGGACCTCTAAGATTGTTTCACAGTTCATTTGATCAACTTGGGCAAATAGGATGAGGTCATCAACAAACAACAAGTGGGATAGGGGTGGGCTGTTTCTAGAGGCCTTGATGCCTCTCCAAGAGCCCTCTTTAACTTTATAGTTGATCATATTGGAAATTCTTTCCATACAAAGCACAAAAAGGTAGGGTAAGAGAGGATCACATTGCCGCAACCCTCTCTCATTATGAACACCCTCAATAATTTCACCATTCCACAAGATAGAGGAGTCTTTATTAGAAACACAACTCATGATTAAATCAATCCAGTTGTCATTAAGCTTGAATTCAATTAATGTAGCTCTAATGAAATCCAAAGACAATCTATCATAAGCTTTTTCTAAATCAATTTTGAAAATCATTCCACCATTTTTCATTTCTTAGTTTTCAACGAGTGCAAAATTTCTTGTGTGATGATAATGTTATCAATAGTGCACCTACCAGGGATAAAGCTACTTTGATTGGGGCTCACCAAATTATCAAGGAGGGGTCTAATTCTACCCACTATAAGCTTGGTAATGATTTTATAAGAGACATTGCATAAGCTAATGAGCCTGAATTGTCTAATGTTTTCAAGGTTATCAACCTTAGGAATCAGCACAATAATAGTCTCATTGATGATATCAGGAATCATTTTATTTTGAAAACAAGTTTTCACAAAGTCACACACAGAGTGGGCCACAATATTTTAATAATTGTGGTAGAATGTGGCCTGAATGTCGTCTCTACCAGGTGCTTTAAAGGCACCAATATCTTTCACAGCTCTAAGAATCTCAGAATTAGATATAGGTTTGGCTAAACCATCATTATCTTCTTGAGTGAAGTGGAAAGGAGAAATATTTTTCCAATGATCCAGTTGAGTTATAAGATTACCACTAAAGAGATTCTGAAAATATTCAAGAATAGTGGCTTTAATGCCAATAGAGTCAATGGTCCAATTACCAAAGTTATCTTTAAGGGCATTAATTTTAATTTTCCTTCTCTTGGTAATGGTGGAAACATGAAAATACTTAGTATTTCTATCACCAAGAAGAATGTGTTTAGATTTAGATTTTTGAAACCACAAGATTTCTTCCTGAAACAAAGTAGAATTATATTGAACAATCAGCTCCTTCTCAAGAGCTTGGAGGCTATGAGAGAAATAGTCAGCTAAGGATCTTTGGATGCCTTCAATACGAGCCAGAAGATGCCCTTTTCTTTTAAAATATAACCAAAAACCTCTTTCTTCCATTCCTTAACTTTACAAGTGAAATCAACAGTGGAATCAATGAGGTTATGGTTCATATCAGTCCAAGAATATTTAATAACATCAATGAGGCCAAGATGAGTCATCCAAGCAGCTTCAAATCTAAAAGGCCTATTGAGGGGATTGAGATTATGCATACATTGGGTGTAGACAATAAGAGGGGAGTGATCAGAGTAAGTTCTGGGAAGGACTCTCACAGTGGCCTCCGAGAACATGGTTCTCCATTCTGTGTTGCACAAAGCTCTATCAAGTCTTTCCATTATGTTGGCAAGCCCTTGTCTGTTATTTATCCATGTCATTTTTGGTCCAGAGCTCCCCAAATCAATTAAGTTGCAGTTGTTGATTCTATCTAAGATTTTCTGGTTTCAAACAGCATTGAGTCTTGTGTTGAAACTTCTTCTTTCTCCCTGACTAGCATAGTCATTAAAATCCCATGCTACTAGCCATGGTTTGTCCATATTCTTAGTCACTTCTTCTAGATTATCCCACAGGTGTTCTCTCATAACAGGGTTAGGACTAGCATAAACAACTACTAAGACCCACTCATCATAATCTTCTTTATGAATAATAGCATGGATAGCCTGAGAAGTGACTGAAGAAGCTCGTACATTAACCTGACTTATGTCCCAGACAATCCATATCCCTCTCATGCGTCCAACAGGGTCAACAATAGTTGAGGCTGTGTAGCCTAATCTATTGAAGAAATTGCCCATTTTGTTATACGGCACTTTAGTTTCCATAAGGATTAAAATTTCAGGTTTATGGCCTCGAATAATTTCTGTTAGATTTTGTTTGAAGTTGTTATTGCCGGCTCCCCAGCAATTCCAGAACAATAAATGTAATAAATCCATAAATGAGTAAATAAGAGGTGAGTCAGTTATCAGATCTTTAACAATGCTACGAATCCTTCGCCGATTGGCCTCCTCTGATCTCATGGAGGCTATCTGAATCGAATGGAATGGATGGGGATTGTTGTCCTCCCAATTGAGCTCGATTGTCATACGGATTTGTTCGATCCACCAAACGAAAGCGACTAGGTGAGAGATTTCTATCTCTGGTCTTAACAACAGGGCCACTGAGCTGGTTTGATGCCGATGCTCTTCTACCTCAATCATCGGATCTCCTGGTTTCTGTGTGTTGTTCTGGTCCATGGTTGGTTTTAGGGATGTACACGGGTCGAGTCAGCTCCGTTTTACCACTGAACCATCACTTGAACTAATCTACTTTGGGTGGAGAAGAGTTAATCCGAATTCGACTCATATGATGCTCAAAACTGTGTATGTCGGTTGTTTGGTTTGGCGAACGGTTTTCGGTTGAGTGATTTTCTTCACCATTTCAGTTTAATGGCTTTTGTCTTCCTTAAAAAATCACAGAACCAAGCACATACACAAAATCACAATAACATATTATACATATCTACTTTCCTCACATACTATATATGAAAGGAACAACGGATAAAATTTGAAAACAGAGAGGAGATATTTACCTTTCCACCATGTTACAACACCACCATCATCATTACCATACAACGCCGCCGTTCATGTCTTTAACCAACACTTAATGAACTCCTCTTTCTAATGTTTGCCATGCATGCTCTTTCATTTGCAACAATCAGTGCCCCGTTCATTACTTGAGCCTAGTTTCCGTGAATGCAATTAGATCTGAGAACTCTGTGTATGAGAGTGAAGGACTTTGAGATGAGAGGGATAATGAGAGTATAAAGGAAGTTAGAGAGAAGAATGAATTTTAGGGTTTCTGAGAGAGAGGGAGAAAGAGGAAGAGAGAGTCGGCGGTTTCTGAAATAGTGAGAGAGAGAAAGAGTCGGTGGCGTTTGAATGATAGAAAGAGAAAGAGGGACAGATGGTGATACTGTTGATATCAACAAGGTAAAAAGTCTCTTTGCCTTGGGAAGATCAAATAAGCTTCTTGATGGAAATTCAAAAAATGCTTTTATGAGAGATAGAAATAGAGGAATTAATGATGGAATGGAGTAGTTAACTGTTGCCTATGACTTTGCCTTGGGAAAGATAAAGTCTATTAGGAACATAATATAAGTCATGAAACACGGTGGCATATATTAATAATAATTATATCAGTCAGTTCAAATTAATTGAATATTTTATTTGCAAAACCGTTACTCGACCGAAACTTCAACAAAATTGATGTACTTCACCTGCAGCTGACCGTGATGTTCATCGAAACCGTCAGTGACTGACACGGGTCAGTCGGATACTTGTAATCTTTCTGTAATCTCCTCATTGGTATAGTGATAACCGGTTACTCTCCCGTGGACGTAGGCATTGGGCCGAACCACGTAAAATATTGTGTCTCCTTATGTGTGGGTGTGTTTTTCTGCTTGCAATGATTTCTATAAGGTCTTGGGCGGGATCCCAGATCCCAACAAAAATAATTGATGAGGACAAATGGTTTAAAAAAAGATTTACATTACATTCATGAAATTTACTTTTAGCAAATTATTGATGGATATATGTCTCAAAAAATTATTGCTTCATCCCAACAGACACAAGCCATAAGAGTTAGGCTGTGTTGTGAAATGTAACTATATTTGATTTACATCTCATCCACCATTTCCCTTTCGCTTGAATTAATCAACCTGCTTTTCATCAAGATTTGCAAGTGTAGCTCCAACACTCTTGAAATTCAAATTCCTTAAATTACATGGATGCACAGTGATAAATAGGATCCAATTGATTCATGATCAGGATATCAAAATTTTTAGATTGAAGCTCAGCTGAAATAGAGATTAAATGTAAAATTTAAATGGATAGTGATATACAAATAGACAATTAATACATAAAACCTATACAAATTAATGTTGTCGATCCTACTTGATTGGGACACGAAACTTAGTTTGGTTTGGTTTAATTTTCTTATAAAGCTTCTGTTTGCAAATTATTTTTCAAATTGTAAAGCTTTCAATGTGTTAAGTAGTGAACAGGTTAGGCAGCTCACACAAATAGGATTCCCCAACTCAAACCCCTTAAAAATTCAACAACTTTTGTACATAGCATCAACTCTGCACACCAGTGTCGCTGATTTCCCCACATTATTTAACCTGATTTGAGCCATAACATCGTGTTCATATTGACAACTAAATAAAGGATAAAAGGGAGGCCTAGAAATGTTACCGGCGGGGGACTTAATTGGTAAGTCTATCTGAGGAGCAGCGACTGATGAAACCATGGGCGGCGGAGGAGGGGTGGCGCTTCCACCGGCATTGTAACCGTTCATTACATCTTGCATTCCCCGCAACAGCGTCTGAACCCGAATTTTCTCCTTCTCCAAACAGTACTTTTCTTGATCCAACGTCACTTTTTGCTCCTTCAAACATATGTACTCATCCAAAATTGCCCCCAAAGTCAACAAACTCTTCGGCGCCTACAAAACCCACATAGCTCCTCAGCTAAATTCACGAAATAACAACAACAATCAAAGAAAAACCCAGAAATTTTACAGCTCTAAAACATAATATGGATACAAATACCTCTTGAACTCGAGATTTAGAGATGAGATCGGAGGCTTCGGTGCGAAAAGTGGAGCGAGTTTGAGAAAAGTTGTTGTCGGAGAGATATTGGTCCACGATAAAAGCGATTTGGACTGGAGTGACTTTCCCTTTACCATAGCTTTCTGGTTTTCTGGACTTGGATTTGGTCTGCTTCCCCATCTCTGGTCTTCAAAGTTGGAGAATCAAAACACAGAGAGAGAGAGAGAGAGAGAGAGAGAGAGAGAGAGAGATTATGAAAATTGGGGGTAGTGAAAGTATGAAGGAAGATAAAGAGAGATCTGGGTGGGAAAAAACGCGGGAGTGTTTGAAAGTTTTGGAGGAAAACAATTTTCATGTTTGGCAAATGAAAGTCGCGAGAGTTTTAGCGGTTATTTTGGCGCTTCCTTCTTCGAGCTTTTAAAACTAAACGACAAAAGTTAAACCCGTCAAAATTGGAACTCTGGCGGGTCGCATTAAAAAAGAAGACACATGGACCCGACTTGTTAGAATTCGGTCCATGCCATGTTGTGGAACCATTTCTTCATTTCTTTCTTTCTTTCTTTTTTTTTTAAATGTAAATAATATTAAGAATATTAACAAATAGCTTAACTAGACATAAAATTAGATCAACTCCACATTAAATAGTGGAACACCTTGCAAATATCCTAAGACCTGATTTGAAAAGTAGATTAAAAATTGATTTTTTAACTTTTATTTTTTTTTTTTTAAACGTACAAAAATATAAAAAGGAGATGTGACCAAAAAAAGTCAAAAAAAAGTTAAAAAACTGCTTTCATTTTTGAATTTCTAAAAACTCTTTCTCTATAAAAATGGAAAAGAATGGGTAAATTTCAACTTTTTTTTTTATTCTTATTTAGAATAGCTCAAAAAACAAAATAAAAACCGAAAATAAAACCAACAAAGCCCAACTCCTTTTTGGAAACATTAAATTTTAGTTAAAAAAAGACAAAAAATAAATATTTCTTCTATTTTCTCTGCATATTTTTTTTTATAAAATTAAAAAAAAATCATTCTCAAACATTTCAATTTTTTAACTAGACACAATATTAAACTCCACATTGTGGGAGCATCAAGTTTTAGCCAAAAAATTAACTATTTTTCTATAAAAAAAAAAAATACACATTTTTTAATAAAAAATAAAAAATTACATGCAAAAAAGAATTCTCAAAACAATTCTAAACCCACACCCATTGCATATTCCACTCGCTCATTATCTGATTTTTGGTCTGATGGTGAGAAAGTGGCCCAGGGCCGAAGTACAAATAAAGCCCACATTTGGTATTCTGGTAATTATCCAAAACGAGGATTGTAATCAAAAGAAAATCCAAACCAGAAATCATCTCGGATTCCTTACGAAGACGAAGACGAAGACGAAGACGAAGACGAAGATAAAGATGAAGCAAGGGCTTCTCTCATGGAGTCCTTTCCCCCACTTTCTCTCTCTACCCATCTCTCTCTCTCTTCCCTCCAAAACCCACTTCACCAAAACACCCACCAGACTCTTCGCTCCAATTTCTGCAACTCTCGAGTCTGTAAACGAACAAATCCTCACAGCTAGAGAGAGAAGACAGATGAGGAATGAGAAGAGAGAGAGCAAATCCACCTACAATTGGAGAGAGGAAGTGGAAGAGAGGCTCATGAAGAAGCCCAAGAAGAGGAACGCTTCGTGGACCGAAGAGCTTAACCTTGACAACCTCGCTCTCTTGGGTCCTCAATGGTGGGTTGTCAGAGTTTCCAGAGTTTCTGGTCAGGACCATGCTGAACTACTCGCTCGATCGCTTGCCCGAAACTTCCCTGACATCGATTTCAAGGTAAATTTCATGTTGAATAGTTGTGATTCAGAGTTTTGGTTTGTGGGTTTGTTTTGAGACCTCAAAATTGAGTAAAAGCTTCATTTTACATGAACCACCAGGCCTGTGGTCAAACTCATATTTACGGTTAAATTTGAGTAGAAGTTTGCAACTTTAAATTTGAGAGTAGCAAAATAACTTAAAAATTTTGAATATACAATTGAGTTGAGTCTGCTTGATTGGGGTAAAACTTTGAGTGAAACTCAATTTGGTTTAAGTTTGGGTCAAGGATTAAAGGGTGTTTTGAGTGATTTTTAACCCAAATTTAAATTTGATATGGGCTTGAGCCAAGGATTGAGATGCAAGTCTTTTGGGTATTTGTGCTTAAGTGAATTAATTGAGATCAGTTATTGTAATTGATCCTAAACCTTCAAATGGAGTTCCCACTAAACCAACCAAGTAGTTCCTACTAGGACAATATGAGATTTCTTATTCGTTGGTGATATACCACCACATATCCCATATTTACTCGGAAATGTTCACATTGGGTGCAACGGTGATACCACCTTATGGAGTGAATTGGAACTTAAGTGCTACTCAGGGAGAAACTGGAATCCAAGATGAAATAAGAAAATTTGAAATTCAGGAACTATTATTTCTTCTGAGGGAATTAATGTATGAACCGGTTGAGAAGTAGTGGTTAATGTTGATTGTCTTGTTCAGGATTCTTGAATTACTTGGTATTGAATGGTTATTTTGGAAGATACATGAACAATGTGTTAACACTCGAAAGGCAGAGCTGTATTGCAAATAATTAAAGTGGTACATTTTAAGAAAGCATGAAATATGGAAACTTTTGCAGCTAAGAATTAACTAAAATTAACAGAGCTCCTATTTAATTTTATTTGATTTTGTTGAGGTGATACTCCTCTTGTTCCTCACTGTATTCTTCACTAACAATGCACATCAGTTTTGGTCATTTTGAGCATTCCACGGTGCTTCTTGTCATTTGTTTTCTTGAAGATGTGTTGATGTTGTTTTAATTATATCTGTAATGTTGCTTCATTATCGAAATGTTGAAATTTTGGAAATTTAGATGTAAGATGCTTAACATTTTATTATAGAGTTAGAACTGAGAACACTTTTTTATTCGTCATCAATCCCTTAATTTTTATTCTCAGGTCTATGTTCCAGCTGTTCAGGTGAAAAGGAAATTAAAAAATGGATCATACTCAATTAAACCAAAACCTCTTTTTCCTGGGTGTGTGTTTTTGAGATGTGTACTGAACAAGGAAATACATGACTTTATACGTGAATGTGCTGGGGTTGGAGGCTTTCTTGGATCAAAGGTCGGAAATACGTAAGCATTTGCTCTCTTTTCGGTCACATTCTTTTGATTTTGTAGAACTACTTGTTTGTAATATAGCTTTGAATTTTGTAAATATCTCTAATGAGTCTAATCTCATGGGGAAGTATTAGATTTTCTTACTTTCACAGATAGGAAACAGTTATGGGATAACAAAATGGTGGAACGTAGTTCAGATTTTGTTTGTTCCAACTTCATAGATTATATGTAAATTGTTCCATTTTCTGAATGTGAATTCTTTCTCCGGCCACTGTGACTGCTGCCCTTTGTTCATGACTTTTAGGGCTTATACATCATTGGTTTTGGGCATATGTGGGGAATCTGTTTGGTTGAGTTTTCATAATCTGTTTTTTGAAAAAAATTCAAAAATTAGTTTGGTGGGAAAAAAAAATTCAAAACAGACACGTTATTTTCATATGGTTCTCTTTTTTTTAGTGGAAATCATTTTTGAAAATTCGAAAAGTTTTTTTTTTGTTTTTTGGTTTCTTTTTGTCAAACTAGTTTTCTATTTTTTCAAAAATAAAATAAAATTCTAAAAACTCAACCAAACAAAACATTTTGTTCAAGTTCTTTGTGGGTTGCTAGCCTCTTTCTATAGTATGTTTTCCCAGTTTCCAGACAGCTCATTGATTACCATATGTCTATTGCAAATTAATGTTTGTACCTTTCTTTTTGCTTACTTTCTAGTCAATCTCATCAGAAACTGTTCTTCACACACATCTACAGGAAAAAACAGATTAACAAACCCAGGCCAGTTTCCGCTGTTGATATTGAAGCCATTTTCCGACAAGCAAAGGAAGAACAGGAAAAAGCTGACCAAGCTTTCAAAGACGAGCAGCAAGGGGAAGCAATCATCGACCCTGAGAAACTGAATGTAGTCTACTCAGACTCTCAATTAACTTCCTCAGATGTTACAGAGTCAATTATAGATTCCAAGCCAAAGCGGCGATCCAAAAAAACTTCTCAACCGCTCCTTAAACCAGGTTCAACTGTTCGAGTTGTATCTGGGACATTTGCAGAGTTCTCAGGCATCCTTAAGAAATTGGAGAGTAAGAGAGGAATGGTATGTCCTTGTTACATTAAGCATTTTCCTTCAAATATTTGTTATATTTCTCTCTTAATCTATTTTTATACTCTTTTTTTTTTTTTTTTTTTTTTTGGAGAAGCATATACCTAGTCAATTTATCAAATTGTCTAGAAAATGATTTAATTTTTGAAAAATTATCTTCTTACAGGCAACTGTTGGATTTACCCTTTTTGGGAAAGAAACCTTAGTAGAGCTTGATGTCAATGAAATTGCTGTGGAGACGAAGTAATGTATATCAGTTCTTTTCTGATGATTAAGTTATAATTCTTGGGATTTAATTCTTTTTCCCTTCTAATAGGTGAATGTAGAGTTCTAACATATTGCGAGAAAGTGGAAATTAAATATTCCCCGTATAATGTTAGTGATTACACAAAGATCATTCAATCTTATTGGTTACTTTTAACCCATTCCCTCTTCCCATTTTTGAATATCAATTGGAAATCAAGCTTCTTTCTCATATTCACTTTTTCGACTTCTGAAGTTGCTATGATTCCATGCATCTCCTGGGACTTGAGAAAATAGAAATAGCTTGAAAAAGATGAATTGCCAACTAGGATTGGTTGCTATGTTTGATCTGTCGTAAGCTCACATGTATTGTAATTTGTTGGGAAAGAGATGGTGTAACAAGTCCCCGGTTTGTGAAATTTTGTAAGAAACATTTCCATTGCTCCCGGCTGATGAAGGTTGATCTTAGATTGGATTTCTTATATGATGATTGCTATGGCTGGTGAACCGTTATCCCATTTGTGATATTTCTAAGGTTGAATCCTAGTTAAAAATACAGCTAAAAGGAGGGCAGTTGCATAGAAAATGCATCTTTTCATGTTGCATGCTTTTGCAGTTGATTAATTTACAAGTCTGGTTGGTTGGGTTTTCGTTTTTTTGGTTTCTGTTTTTATTTTTTGAAACACGGACAATTTGTTTAACAAATTATTTCTGAAAACAACCCGCTTTTTACAACCAAAAAATTGTTTTTGCACAAAAAAAAAAAAAAAAAAAAAAAGGATATTGAACAAACAGGTAGTGGAGAACTTTTCATTGTTTTTGTTTCAAGTAACACAACCAGAAATGAAAAATCAAAACAGAGAACAAAATTGCAATAAAACAACAATTCAAATAAAAAGCTTACTCAAAAGATTTTAAAGTTGAGTGATTATACTTGTACATCTAGTTGATCTGTGCTTTAATTGTTATCAAATCACTATCAAAATAAGCTTTATAAAGCACTAATTTCACAAAAAGTGGAGAAAGTGCGAAGATGGGAAAGATTCAGCACTACCTTTATTATTATAGGCTCTACAAAACGTGTTACCGTCCAGCTGTATGGTGGTTTAGTGATCCTATCAGCTATGCTATCTGTAGAAATTCTGAGAGATAGTGGTTGGTGTCATTAGTTGAAAAATAGGTTTGTGATATTGTCAACTTTAATATCTTTTTCTCTTCTAATTGGTATTGCGAAAGAGTGTTAATTATTAGCCTTTCATTTATTATTTTAAAGGAAAATGTTTGAGGGCCACAATTTTTGTGGCCACAGTGGCTCAAAACTGTTAAAACGACGTTGTTTTGGGTGCAAAACATGCCAAAACGACGTCGTTTTGATAGTTTTGAGCCATTGTGGCCACAAAAATTGTGGCTCTCTAGCATTGTTGTATTTTAAACTCTTCATTTTTTTGGATTCTCATCTATAAATTTTAAAATTCTTAAAATTTCTTTCCACCCTCAAATAATGTTAAAATTATTCTTATAAAAATATTAGTCCACTTAAATGCACACTCCCCACACCCTTAAAAATTATTATCTCCCGAAATCCTAACCCAAAAAAAAAATCTCAAAACTTATTCTCTCTCTCTCTTTCTCTCTCTCTCAACGGTGAAAGAAAAATGTTTCTGAAGTGAATCAATCAGTGTAAGGAACGTGTTTCATTTTTTTCTTCGCATTAGGTGCATATGTATTCATTCAATTCCAATCAATTTATTTTATCAGCCCCAAACCCTAAAGACAACAAATATATATATATATATATATGTGTGTGTGTGTGTGTTTCATTTTTTTCTTCGCATTAGGTGCATATGTATTCATTCAATTCCAATCAATTTATTTTATCAGCCCCAAACCCTAATCAACAAATATATATATATATATATATATGTGTGTGTGTGTGTGTGTGTGTGTGTATGAATAGTTCGAAGGGGGCAGATTTGCATTTTGTTCAATCTGAATCTCGTTCCTCTCCTATCCTTCAAAGTCTCTCTCTTCTCTCTCTCTTTCATTGAGAATGTTTGAACTTGTGTTTCCGAACAAATAAGCTATGTCTGGGTTTGTATTCCCAAACAAATAATCAATGTTTGGGCCTGTGTTTCAAACTTGATAAAATGAAAATTCTTGCAAATGTAAATAATTTTAACCCTTCAAAGTATATCAATTTTTCATGTTTAGACATGTGTTCCTGAACAAATAACAAATGTTCGGGCCTGTGTTCCCAAACAAATAAGTAATGTTTGGATTTGTATTCCTAAATTTTGATCATATGTTCAGGAGTTCAATACCGAAAAAAATATAAACAGTTTTTATCATTTTTGACGTGCTTTTCAAGAAACTTACCCTTACAAGTCTATCCTCCTCCAAGTTGAGAATATCATCAAAGTTATAAATCTCTTTTAAACTTACATTATTGTACTCCTCTCGTCTCATGAAATTATGGTTGCCAAAGAAAATTTCAATCATTGTCATTGTCAGAAAAATATATATAATTGAATGGTTGTCATCCTTACCGCCGAAATATCGCTGATAGAGGGTTCTCAAGGTTGTGATGGTAGGATTTGGGAAAGATTGATGAGTGGTGATAGAGGTGAGTACTCTCACAAACTATATCTCATAATTTAGTGTGGGCTCAATTGTGAGATGAGATGTCCCAAAATTATTGATATCCTCTTTGTAATTTTATTTAAGGTTATTATTGTAATTTAAAAGATAAAAAAATAAAGGGTCTAAAATAATAACAACAGTGATGCATACCCCCAGTGAGGTGTCGCACCCCCAGTGAGGTGTCGCACCCCCACTGGCTGAAATCCAAAAAAAAAAAAAAAAAAAAAACAGTTTTTTTTTTGTCAAATGATGGACTGCCACCTCACTGGGGGTCGACCCCCAGTGGGTGTATGGGGCATTTCTGAAATAATAAATAGGGTGTTAATAGTAACACGTTTGTTGAAAACATTAATCTCAAAGTGTGCAATAATTTTTGGGGCATTTACATACAAGTCCCATTTTGTGAACTTATAATCCATTAGGTCCTAGATAAAATTATTTACTTCTTCAAGTCCCATTAATTTTTAATAGACCAATTTACCGTTCCAAACCTGAATTTGGGAATCAGATGATCTTCTCCCACGATTTTTAGATCCTTGTGCAAAAACAAATTGAAATTCAAAAAAAAAAAAAAAAAATCCAAAGCAAGTAAGACATGGAAACCGAAGATTCATTCCAGAGAATAATAATGATTCATGAATCAACTTGAATTTTGATTCTGTGACTTCTCGAATACGTCTAGATCTACAATTTTCAAGCTCACCTTCGCGAACTCGCTCGATGCATTACTCGAGCAACAAGAAGCCGGAACACGATCGGAGACAGGGCTCGAGCAACGGCCATTCGAAAACCGTCCGTCGTTCAGAACCTTCCATATCCGTCGCCGCGCGGCGGTCTGAGAAGCCATTACCTGAGCGAGACGCTGGGTGGCGGCCTTGACGGCGAAGTTTTGATTCCTCTTGATGGTGGAGAGACCGATGCCTGGAGAAGATGACCCTGTGCTGCTTCCACTCCACTGCCTAGTGTACACTGGACTCGCCGCTCGCCTACGATCCATACAAGTATATATATATAGATGTAGTCTGTGTTTTCGTAGAACGCTGAATTTTCAGAGATGCCGAGTCTCTTTTTTGAAATTGAGAATATTCTCAATTTATAATATTTTCAACTTTAATCATGAAAAAAAATTCAATTCAGCAATCTAATGTGTCAGGTTCCCAGAATTATCTTTCTTTTCAATCCCATACTTTTTTCAGAAGCCAAACAGAAATTTTTTAATTTGATAATTATATACTAAAATCATTCTCTGTTTTGAAAATTGAGAACATTCTCAGTTTTTGGATTAAAAGGAAACACGTCTTTTTACCTATAAATGAGACTTATTGGTTCAAAAACTTTTTGACAGAACCTAAACTAACACCAAATATGTAGACAAAACTTTTTGATAATTAACTCATAATTTTTTGATCTTACAAATATCTCAAGTGGCCGTGGTACAAAATACAAATATTTATTTAGAGGGGAGCTAAGACCATGTGAGTTGCTCTCCAATCCTTTATATATATATATATATATATATTTACTGTGGGTTTTAATTTAGATCTATACCTATGATCTATACTGTCTACTTTGTAAGAGTTATAACACAGATTATTCATAAAAAAATAACCTTATCAAACATTTATAAATACATGAATAAATTACATTTCGTTTATAAAATAAATGACAAATATAATTATAAATGTAAATTATTTATTTTATAAAATATAATACGATTTGTTCATATATTCATAAATCTTTAATGAAATTAATTTTTTACAAACATAATTTTAATATAAAGTTAGAAAAAATACATTTGACTCATTTGTGTGTGCCTCTCAAACGTTTTATGAGTTTTAATTCAAATTCATACGGATGAATGTGAAATAAAAGCATACTAGGGGCCTACTTCCTAAATTACAAAACAGTCGGGCATTTACAAAAGAGTCTCATGTTGATATTCCCTCTGTCCTAGACCACTGAGAGAAAAGTAAAAGCAGAGTGTCTTGCAGAAAACAGTGTGTGTAGTAGGAAACCATATTAATAATTCACACAACCTCCAACCCCACCGACCACCACCACCCATTTTCACCACTTTCCTCTGCTTCTTCCCCAGACCCTAGAATTTTTTTTTTTGAAAAAATGAATCACCAGACAGGTTCAATCCACAAACCCTAGAAAACCCACAGCAACAGACAAAATCGGCAGGAGTTTCAGCTCAAACCTAGATCGAGTATGGCCACACTGTCCACTTCCAGGTACTTCACAGCCCTTTTTTTACTCATTCTCTTCTTCAAAACCACAGCCTCAGACACAAACTCGACCTTTGCTTTCACAAACTTCGACAAAGATTCGAACTTCGAGTCCACACTCACTCTATATGGCTCTGCCAAGGTTGTTAATGGCGGTTCGTCCGTACAAATTACTGGGTTTTCGAGTTTAAGCTCTGGGCGAGTCTTTTACAAGAAACCCATCAAGCTAGTCGAAGGAAATCCCAAAAAAATGGTGTCTTTTTCGACTTTTTTCACTTTTTCGATGTCTCCGGAGAGTGGAGATGGTTTAGCTTTCGTTATGGTTCCTGTTGGGTTTCCATTGAATGTGTTCGACAATGGTTCATCTGGGTTGTTGAGTGACAACAAAATTAGGACTCTGGGTGTTGAATTTGATACATTGATGGATGACAAGTATGGCGATTTGAATGCCAATCATGTTGGTATTGATGTCAATGGTTTCGTATCTGTTAAAGTGAGCAATGTTTCTTCAATCAATTTGGTGCTGAATAGTGGTAATAAATTGCAAGCTTGGATTGATTACGAGGCGGGTTCGAAGCGAATAGAGGTTAGGTTGAGTCAATTGGGTGAATTGAGGCCTGTTGATCCATTGCTTTCATGCCCAATTGACTTTTCACAAATGTGGAATGAAGAGGAGGTTTTCATAGGGCTAAGCTCTTCAAATGGGAATTCTTCACAAAGATGTAATGTGTATTCATGGAGCTTCAAGCTCAGGACAGTTCCGAATTGGCTGCATTCGCAGCCTTTGGATCCCGGGCCTTTCTCTAAGAAGACGAAAGCCCTAGCGGCTCCAAAGAGCCGCGATTGTGTTTTGAGAGTTCTCGTATTGCTGATATTTGGGGCTGCTTGTGGTGCATTGGGAGCAATCATTGTGCTGGTTGTTTGGAGCATATTTGGGAACAGGCAGCAGGCTGTGGTGCAAGAGGGGTTTCCTTTGCCACCTCCACCGGTGGTGGTGGGATTTGAGTATGAAAAGCACTTTAAAGTGGTGTTAGATAAAGCCATCGAAGATGGTAAGAAGTAGGTGGTGTTTAGTTTGGTATGTTGTTGATGTAAATTCATTTTCTTGTTGTAGTTGTGTGTTCTGTTTTTGGGGGGGTTTGTTTTGTTGCTGTAATTTGATGATCAATCATCCAGTGTAGTAGTGTTAAATATTTTTTTCTCAATGTCATGATCATTGAGATACAGCATCAAATTGGGCAAATGGAATATGAAGTGGCTACATTCTCGTGACCAACTGTGTCCAGTTACAGTGTCATATCTAGATTTTTGGAAACAAAAATTTAGTGATAAAATCATTTTTTAGGATAGTTCATTTTAAATCTCATATGACTTTAGTTTATGATTTTGCAGTCTCAGTTAACTCTACATGTTAGATCATTGGAGTATAAATAAATTCACTTTTTCACTTTTTTTTTTTTTTTTTTTCTTTTTGTAACCATACAAACATTATTTCATTTGGTAATTGAATAATATGCAAAAAATATATAAATAAATAATAAAAATTTAGCCCAATCAATGAACAACAAAACTATCACCATTTGGATTGAAAATTGTCTTCATTTGTCTTCTTCTTAGTTTACTCAAAAATCTTATCTCTCTGTTGTTCATCATGCCATCAGAGCTTCACAAGACCAATTAGCAATGGCGACACCTCACTCAGACTCATCTACCTCAGCATATGCAGAATCAACTCCAAAAACCAGTCGGTCTTCATGAAATTTCATTTTCTAAGATTTCTGTTACACAGTGAGAGTGCATCCAAAAATTACAAGGTTCACATTGATAGTGCATATGCCAATCGTTTCACTTTCACAAACCTGTGCCACATCGGTGGCACGGGAATTCAGCAAAACTAACCTCCTGGGGTTTCCCGACACAATTGAGGTGTGGGTGATAGTTAACGATTTTAATGGTTGCCCCACACTTGACATTTGAATAGCTGTCAATTTGACGGATGCATCTTGTATGAAGAGATTGCTCAGACATGGCACAATCATAGAACCATAATTTCGGATTTATTTCTTTCTCAGAAATCTCACAATAGTCATCCTTGACTTGGTCTTTGAGAGGACAAAGACGAAGGGGAGGGGAATAGGTTAGGGTGAATGGGTGTTTATCGCGTCTGTTAGGAATTGACCCTTCCTAATCAAGATCGGTGAGATACGAAATAACAAACAAGAAAGAAATTAATGAATTAAACAAATTACACAAACAAGAACACAAGGATTTACATGATTCACCTCAGAATAGGGTTACATTCACGGCAGCTGCGGTTTTCACTATGATCAGAAAAATATAACTCTCTCTTAACCTAAAAGAGGCGCCCCCTCATCTATTTATAAGTATAGAATTAGGGTTACACGAAAGCACATGGGAATTACGAAAGTACCCAAACCCCCCAATGGATCCAATGTTTGAGTGAACAGTATTTATTAGGGTCCACCGATCCAACAATCTCCCACTTGGAACCTGATAACACAAGCTCTTCATTATCTTCATCACATAGAGGAACGTCACAACAACTCGATCTTCCTTCATCAATCTTGAAGGCCAACTGAAGTTGCACACAACTTCAGTTTGTCAATGGTGACTGTCTTGGTCAACATGTCTGCTGGATTCTTATTGCCTTGGATCTTCTCAAGAGACAAGACTCCATCATCTACTAGTGAACGAATGAAATGGTATCGCAACTGAATGTGTTTCATCCTAGAATGAAAAGCCGGATTCTTTGCAAGATGAATAGCACTTTGACTGTCACTATACAAAATACTCATCTTTTGCGTCTTACCTAACTTTGCTAAGAAATTTTGTAACCAAGTCATCTCCTTCCTAGCTTCAGTAATAGCAACATACTCAGCCTCTGTTGTAGAAAGGGCCACAATTTTCTGTAACTGTGAAATCCAACTCACTGCTGTACCACCCAATGTGTAAACATAACCAGTAATACTCTTTCTGTTATCCATATCACCAGCCAAGTCTGCATCAACATAACCATGTAACCCAATGGCGGTTCATCTGAAACAAAGTGCCATGTCTGTAATACCACTCAAGTATCTAAGGATCCACTTCATTGCCTTCCAATGCTGTTTGCCTGGATTACTCATGTACTTACTAACCACTCCCATTGCATGTGCAATGTCTGGTCTAGTACAAACCATAACATATATTATGCTACCGATAGCTGAAGCATATGGAACATGTTTCATATAAGCCTACTCTTCTTCAGTCATTGGAGACTGCTTTTTGGTAAGTTTGAAATGGCTAGCCAATAGAGTATTCACTAGTTTTGCACCATCCATGCTAAACCTCTTGAGAACTTTCTTGACATACTTAGCCTGTGACAACTTCAAAGTACCATTTGCCTTGTCCTTGTGAATCCTCATACCAAGGATTTTGTTTGCAACTCCAAGATCCTTCATCTCAAATTGGTTGGACAAAAGTTTCTTCAATCTTTTTATCTCTTCAATGCTAGATCTTGCGATAAGTATATCATCAACATATAAAAGCAAAATAATATAACTTTTGTCAAACCTCTTGAAATAACAACAATGATTTGCTTGACATCTTGTAAAACTGCTGCTATACATAAACCCATCAAACTTCTTGTACCACTGCCTTGGGGTCTGTTTTAAACCATACAAGCTTTTTCGAAGTTTGCATACAAACTCCTCTTTGCCACGTGTCAAGAAACCTTGTAGTTGCTTCATATAAATTTCATCCTTCAAATCATCATGGAGAAAAGTCGTCTTCACATCCATCTGCTCAAGATGCAAATCTTCAGCAGCCATAATTCCTAGCACCAATCTGATAGTGGTCAACTTTACAACTAGAGAGAAAATTTCAGTGTAGTTAACCCCTTCTTTTTGTTGAAATCCCTTTGCAACCAATCTAGCCTTGTAGCGTTTACTCCCATCATGTTCCTGTTTGACCCTGTAAACCCACTTGTTGTGTAAAGCTTTCTTACCCACTAGTAATTCAATCAACTCCCATGTCTAGTTTGCCATGAGTGAATCCATTTCATCCTGCATAGCTGACTCCCACTTAATTGAATCATCAACCTGTAAAGCCTCATCATAACTTTCAGGTTCACCCCATCAGACAACAACAAATAATGTAAAAATGGAGACCAACACTGTGTAGGTTTAGACTCTCTTTCTAACCGTCTCTTCTTAGGAGTAGAAGTATGTGGCTCAGTTTGTGGAATAAGTTTTTCAGGATTATTTTGAATCCTACTATTCAAATCACTCGCACTAATCTCCTTTAACTCAACATGTCATGACAAGTAATAGATTCAGATTCACATGCAGACTTATCCTTATCTTTATACATTACTTTCTCATTAAATACGACATCTCTACTTCTGATTATTTTCTAATTTTTATCATCCCAAAATCGATAACCAAATTGATCAATGCCATACCCAATAAAAGTACATTTAACATATTTCGGATCAAGTTTATTTCTATCAGTAGAATCTATATGCACATATGAAACACAGCCAAATACTTTCAAAAAAGAAAGATTTACCTCTTTACCACTCCCAGCTTCTTGTGGTAACTCTCCATCTAATGGAATAGATGGACCATGGTTAATTAGATATGCTGCAGTGTTAACTGCATCTGCCCAAAACATCTTTGGTAATCCGGCCTGTATCCTCATACTTTTAGCACGTTCATTCAGAGTTCTATTCATGCGTTTTGCAACGCCATTCTATTGAGGTGTCTTTCAAACATTTTTCTCCATTCTAATTCCACTTTTTGCACAATATTTCTTGAACTCATTATCCTCATATTCCTCTCAATTATTTGATCTCTAGCACTTAATTTTCAGACCTGTTTCAGTCTCTACCAAGGCTTTCCACTTCCTAAAAGTAGTATAAACTTCAGATTTATGTTTCAGAAAATAAACCTATACCTTTCTCGTTGAGTTGTCGATAAAGGTAACATAGGGGTGTTTTGAGAAATTGGTAAAAAACTAACTTTTTGGCTTTTTTAGCTTATTTTGTCTTTTTGTGGGTAAGTTATGTGAGACGTGATGTGGCCCAAAATGGGTAAAAAACTAAAAGTTGGCTTTTTACCAGCTTTCCAAAAGACTCCATAGTATAATGATCCTTCAAGAGATGAAATTGGTGCAGGTCCCCACACATCTGTATGAACCAACTCCAATTTTTTTGACTTCGGTTTCTTGCCATCCTTTGAAAAACTGACCATCTTTTGTTTGCCGTAGATGCAATTCTCACAAAAGTCAATGTCCACCGATTTCAAATCTGACAGTTTCCCCTTAGATGCAAGTACCTTTATCTCTGTTTTGACTCATATGCCCAAGCGTTTAGTGCCACAGATTTGAGTCTTCTTTCTCACCAGCAACTGCTACTGTATCTCTATTATTCGTAGTCATGTAAAGGGTGTCTTATTTTTGGTGATTTTCCACAAACCATCTATGAAGGTTACAACATGACCTTCATTATCAAGTTGTCCAACAGAAATCAAGTTTCTTTTCAAACTAGGCACATGTCTGATATTCTGTATCTTCCAAATAGATCTGTTTGGCAACCTGATTGTTACATCCCTTTTACCCACAATCCTCAGAGGTTCATCATCAGCTAGATAAACTTTCCCGAAATCACCACCAATGTAATTGTCCATGATTTCCTTCTGTGAAGTAGAATGGAATGATGCCACAGAATCTAAAATCCAAGATTCAAGAGGGTTGTCAATACTCAAGATCAAAGCATCATAAATCTTCTCCGTTGTAGCATTAGCAGACTTCTGATTTTGATCACCTTTGTTCTTGTTCAATGTCGGACAATCTTCTTTTAGATGTCCCTTCTTTTCACAGTTCCAGTAACTCCGTCCCTCTCCAGTTTTTAACTTGCTTCTGTGTTTGGATTGTTGCGGTTCTTGTTTTTTCCTACTAATCATCCTCTGGCTTCTGTATTTAGGGAAAAACCTAATGTTTCCCCTAATTCCCTCCTACGCATTTCTTCACTCATAATTAAATCTTGAATATCATTGTAATTCAAATTTTCTTTTCTCGAAGAATTACTCATTGCCGTTATAGTACCATTCTAACTTTCTGGCAAACTAGATAGAAGAATCAAAGTCCTAACCTCATCATCAAATTCGATAGATACAAAACTCAATTGTGTTACAACAATATTGAATTCGTTAAGATGCTCAGCTACCGAAGCACCTTCTATCATCCTCAAATTAAACAATCTATGTATCAAATAAA